ACCCGGGGGGTATTTTGTTTTTCCACCAAAGGAGTCTGCCTCCCAGGGGATCGTTTCTGAGTTGAAAGCCCTTATATCTTTACAATTAAATTTCAAACACTTCCCAGTCCAAACCCCAAATCATTTTCATCTTGCTTTGGAAAGGGTATCACAATTTCCTAATAAGAAAAAAGATTGTTTCTACCTTTTAAAAATAGCCTTCAAAATAGCCATTTCAACCTCTTAGATCTCCCTGGGTTAAGGCTGTTATTCCCATGCATTGCATCCCACCAACTGGGGGGGGGGGGGGGAGGGGGGGGGAAGTGACCCAGAGACACAGCAAAGGCAGAAGGAAAGCAGTCCAGGGTTAGCGCCTCACTGGTGAGGCGATGTGGGGCAGAGAGGGCGCTCACAGGGCCTGCCTCCTGGTGCAATCTACAGGTCTCGTGGGATTCTCACTAAAGGCCTTACAGGGTCAGGGAGCCCAGGAAACTTGTCCAAGCCTCACAGTGGGCCCGTGGCAGGGCTCGGTTCGAACGAGAGTCTGACTCTGAGGCTGCGCTCTTTTTGCCAAGCCCTGCAGGAAAAAGTCGCCGGGAGCCTCGGAAAAGAAGGCCGGGTCTGGGCAGCAGGACAAAGGAGGCCCCGTGCCCTCAGGCCCGCCCAGAAGGGAAGAGCTCTCTTACCTCTTTGGAGGTCACATTCTCTAGGTCCTGGCTCATCATGATGCTGCGGAGCTTGGCTTTGATGAGGCGCTCGGTCCTCGCCCCTTCCGTTGGCCTGGAGGGAAAGTAGGAAAGTGCAGAGCTTTATACAGGAAGCCTGAGGTCGGAGTTCAGAGACCCTGGCGCTCCTGGGCTAACCAGAACGTGGCCTGGGACCACGGAGGTAACGTCTTGGTGTGTGTGTCCTCAGCAGGTGGGAGAGAGGGACAGAGTCCTGCGCCGTGTCCAGAGCTCCCTCCCACAGGAGCCTGCAGTGACACAGAGCAACAGGGCACATGGGGGCTGAGACGCGCAGAGATGCGTTCACATCCACGTTTGTCTATAATTTCGAAAGTGAGGTGTGGTCTCAGACCCTCCATAGGCCACCCACAGGCCACCAGTCAGGGACCGCTGCATGAGAGGCTGGCTCTGGGAGAGGTGGTGCAACCAGAGCAGGTGTGACATCGTGGGGACACAGAGGCAGGCACAGGGCGGGGTGGGCGGGGGTGAGGAGGCAGCGCACTCACTTGTCGACAAACAGGGCCGGGGAGTCGGGCCGCGTGGACTCCAGGTCCTGCATGGCGTTCCACTCGTTGATGCAGCTCTGCTCGGAGCCGATGCAGCTCTCGTAGTAGGTGGCCCAGAGGAGAGCCACGCCCCCGGGGAAGTAGTTGTGCCTTCGCGCCACTTCGCAGGCCTTGTGAAGGACCTGCAGGGCGGACCTGGGGTGAGGAGGGCAGAGGGTCAGGCCTGGGAGGCACAGGCGTGCTGGGTGTTCCCCTCAGCGAAGGGTGTTAAACGGGGCGGGGAAGGGCAGGTCAGACAGGACTGGCTCCTGGGGCCCCGGCCTCCCAGGCCACACGGCTAGTCTCTGTGACACATGCACTGACCCGAGAGCAGATAGAACATCCTTCACCTTTCCCAGCAAGGAAACAAAAACGTCCTAACTCTCCCCACCCGCTGGTTCACACACCACTTTACAGTCCACTGATGGACTCCCAAGGACTGAGGTGACTCCGAGGCTGTGGGCATCTTAAGCACAGGAGCGACAATTAGCCTCGCTGCTGGAAGGGAGCTCATTACTATGCAGCAGAGACATTTTACTGCTTCCTAATAGCTTCTAACCCCCTCCCATCAATGTTTTAACAGCTTAGATCTCCTAAGGAAAGGAGTTCTAGAAAGCCATTTTAATGCAGAATCCAACTGAAGAAGAGGTTTGGGAAGGCGCTGGGACAGGAGGAACAATATTAAAAATGTATGTTATAATGG